GATACCCCAAAAGGGATGGGACACCCCAAAAGGGATGGGATCATCCAAAGGGATGGGACACCCCAAAAGGGATGGGACCCCCAAAAGGGATGGGACACCCCAAAAGGGATGGGATCATCCAAAGGAATGGGACACCCCAAAAGGGATGGGACCCCCAAAAGGGATGGGACACCCCAAAGGGATGGGATCATCCAAAGGGATGGGATCCCCCAAAAGGGATGGGACCCCCCAAAAGGGACAGAATCCCCCAGGACTGGGACCCCCTCGTGGGTTGGGATCCCCCAGGGGCCGGGACCCCTCCCAAGGGCCCCAGTGCCGGGGTCTGACCCGGAACTGGGGCCGGGGCTCCTCCAGGGACTCCGCGGGCGTGTCCAGCGTCCCCCACTTGTAGGCGAACTCGGCGCCGCGGCGCTTCCACTCCTCCAGGAACAGCGTGGCCCAGACCACGTTGAAGATGGCGAAGACCACGCAGGAGATGTCCTGGCTGGTCTGGGGGACGGACGGCGCCGACTGCAGCGGGGCCGGTCCCCTCCCGGCCCCAACAGCCCCCAAACCCAGCCCCGGGGCGTTGGGAGTCCCCCCAGCCTGCAGGGAACGGCTGGGGGGGATTGAGGGAAAAGTGGGAGGAAGAGGGAGGGGATCCCTCAGGGAAGGAGGGGAACCCCCCAAGGAGAGATGGTAACCCCAAGGAAGGATGGAGAACCCCCCAAGGAGAGATGGGAACCCCACAAGGATGGATGGGAACCCCACAAGGATGGATGGGAACCCCAAAGAGGGATGGGAACCCTCCAGGGAGGGATGGGAACCCAAGGAGAGATGGGAACCCACAAGGAGAGATGAGAACCCACAAGGAGGATGGGAACCCACAAGGAGAGATGAGAACCCACAAGGAGGATGGGAACCCCTTAAGGATGGATGAGAACCCCACAAGGAGGGATGGGAACCCTCCAGGGAGGGATGGGAACCCCAAGAGGGAATGGAAAACCCCACAAGGAGAGATGGGAACCCTTCAGGGAGGGATGGGAACCCCACAAGGAGAGATGGGAACCCTCCAGCGAGGGGCTGGGAACCCTCCAGGGAGGTCGGGAGCCCCCCGTGAGCCTGAAGGCCCCACCTGGTCGCTGTCGGTGAAGGTGTAGAGGATGGAGCCGAACACGGCCGGGTACACCATGGCTGAGGTGTAGAAGCCCAGCCAGGCAAAGTACATGGCGATCTTCACCCCAAAATAGTCACAGATGTCATCTGGGCGGGGCACAGGGGACATCAGCGGGGCTGGGACCCCAAACCCCCGCTGGGGTCACCCCAAACGAACCCCAAGAAGCCTCCTGGGCTCTCACCGAGCGGCTGCGCCTCGCACACCGCCTGCACCCAGGACTTCATCAGGCGCTTGAGGATCCTCTGCTCGTGCAGCGGGAAGAGCTGCTGGATCACGCCCCGCGCCGCCAGCTCCGGGACTGGCCCCGGGGACACGCGTCAGGGACACGGGGACACGGCCGGGGACACGCGGCCACCCGCGTGGCCCCGCTGTGGGGGAGGAGGGATGGGGACAGAGGGGACAGTGGGGACAGAGGGACAGTGGGGACAGTGGGGACAGAGGGACAGTGGGGACAGTGGGGATAGAGTGGACAGAGGGGACAGAGGGACAGTGGGGACAGAGGGACAGAGGGGACAGAGGGACAGTGGGGACAGAGGGACAGTGGGGACAGTTCTGTGCCCACCATGATCCTACAAACCCTGCCCAGGGATGGGAACAGGGGGTCAGGGACACTGGGGACAGCGGGGACACGGCCAGCCCCCCCCAGGACCCCACTGCCACCCCACATGGCCCTGGGCTGGTGGGGCTGGGACAGGGACAGTGGGGACAGGGACAGTGGGGACAGGGACAATGGGGGCTCTGTGCCCGCCATGACCCCGCAGTGGCAGTGCCACGGGAGCCCTGGCAGTGCCACCGGTGCCCTGGCAGTGCCACCGGTGCCCCGGCAGTTCCACCCGTGCCCCGGCAGTTCCACCCGTGCCCCGGCAGTGCCACCGGTGCCCCGGCAGTGCCACCGGTGCCCCGGCAGTGCCACGGGAGCCCTGGCAGTGCCACCCGTGCCCCGGCAGTTCCACCCGTGCCCCGGCAGTGCCACCCGTGCCCCGGCAGTGCCAGGCGTGCCGCACTCACTGATGGGCTGTCCCTCCAGGAAGTGGATGTTGTGCAGGGACTCGCCCTGCTTGGCCCGCAGGTTCTCCAGCCAGTAGCGGATGATGCTCTGCCGCTCCTGCGGGACGTGCTGGCATGTCCCTGGCATGTCCCTGGCATGTCCCTGGCATGTCCCTGGCATGATCCTGGTGTGTCCCCGGCGTGTCCCCGGTGTGTTCCCAGCGTGTACCCACCATGTCCCCAGCATGTCCCTGGCGTGTACCCACCATGTCTCCGGTGTATCCCTGGCATGTCCCTGGCATGTCCCTGGCGTGTACCCACCATGTCCCCGGTGTATCCCTGGCATGTCCCTGGCATGTCCCTGGCGTGTTCCCGGTGTGTTCCCGGTGTGTCCCCGGTGTGCTCCCAGCGTGTCCCCACCATGTCCCCACCATGTCCCCGGCCCTGTCCCCAGTGCTGGGGGTGGCTGAATCCTCACCCAACCTCCCCATGTCCCCTGTCCCCATAATCCCATATACTCATATCCCATATCCAATATCCCCATAATTCCATATTCCCACACCCCATACCCCATATCCCATACCCCGTATCCCATATCCCATACCCCATATCCCACACCCCATATCCCATATCCCATATCCCATATCCCACATCCCATATCCCATACCCCATATCCCATATCCCATATCCCATACCCCATACCCCATATCCCACACCCCATATCCCATATCCCATACCCCATACCCCATATCCCACACCCCATACCCCATATCCCATACCCCATATCCCATATCCCATACCCCATATCCCATATCCCATACCCCATACCCCATATCCCATACCCCATATCCCATACCCCATATCCCATATCCCATATCCCATATCCCATATCCCATACCCCATATCCCATATCCCATATCCCATATCCCATACCCCATATCCCATATCCCATATCCCATATCCCATACCCCATATCCCATATCCCATATCCAATATCCCATATCCAATATCCCATACCCCATATCCCATATCCCATATCCCATACCCCATATCCCATATCCCATACCCCATATCCCATATCCCATATCCCATATCCCACACCCCGTACCCCTCACCCCGTACCCCGTACCCCTCAGCCCGTCCCCGGGGCCCACCTGGGAGCTGAAGAAGCCGAGCTCGTTCTCGATGTTCTCGTAGATGTAATCCTCCTCGCAGGAGAAGCCGCGCATGCCGCCCCCGAACTCGGCCTTCACCGGCTTGCGCAGCCCCATCTCGTCCGCCCCGCGCAGCAAACTGGAACCCCAAAAACCCCACTCAGCCTTTGCATCTCATCCACCCCACGCAGCAAACTGGAACCCCAAAAACCCCGCTCAGCCTTTGCATCTCATCCACCCCACACAGCAAACTGGAACCCCAAAAACCCCGCTCAGCCTTTGCATCTCATCCGCCCCACACAGCAAACTGGAACCCCAAAAACCCCGCTCAGCCTTTGCATCTCATCCACCCCGTGCAGCAAACTGGAACCCCAAAAACCCGCTCAGCCTTTGCATCTCATCCACCCCGTGCAGCAAACTGGAACCCCAAAAAACCCCACTCAGCCTTTGCATCTCGTCCACCCCGCACAGGAAACTGGAACCCCAAAAACCCNCTTTGCATCTCGTCCACCCCGCACAGGAAACTGGAACCCCAAAAACCCCACTCAGCCTTTGCATCTCATCCACCCCGCACAGCAAACTGGAACCCCAAATCCCGCTCAGGCTTTGCATCTCATCCACCCCGCACAGCAAACTGGAACCCCAAAAAAACCCGATCAGCCTTTGCATCTCGTCCTCCCCGCGCAGCAAATTGGAACCCCAAAAACCCGCTCAGGCTTTGCAGGGATGGCACGTTCGTTCATTGTTACAGCGCCAGTGCGGGGACCTTTCCCCTTCAATGGACGTGTGCAAGCCCGAGAACTCCCACTCCTTTTTATCACCCTCAACTAATTACCCTTAATTAATAAATGAATTCATATAATTTCACAATAGGTTCATGCATATTCTTCTGCTGATGTCGACAGCTGGTTACATTTGTACTCAGCTTTTGTCAGAAAGTACAGAAAGAACTCCTGGGTCACTCTGAGCTGTTTCAAGGTCCGAGGAGTCTTTCTTATCTCTTATCTCTTATCTTTTTAGTGTGGAAATTTGCATTCTTGATGGAAATTAGAATTTGTGTAATTCTTAGCTGGGGCAACTTTGCTGGTGCTGCAGTTACCAGACTAAACAGCATACTTCACTTCTGTTAGCGAGCCCAAATTTGGATTTCACCTGCATTTAAACGGATTTCTACCCTGTTACATTTTCTGTCTGTCTCAACAGCACTGGGGACACGCGGGGGACACTCTGGGACACGCGGGGGACACGCGGGGGACACGCTGGGGACAGCACGCACCTCTCGTAGGTGGCGGTGACGAAGAAGGCGTAGACGCGCGTGTGGCGGTGGTGCCGCACCTGCACGATCAGCTCGGGGATGCCCAGGCGGATGTGGTTCAGCAGCCACAGCAGCGTGTGGTCATCCGTGCTGTCTGCGGGGACAGCGCCGCGCGTGTCCCGACACGGTGTCCCTGTCCCCAGCCTGCCGCGTGTCCCTGTCCCGGTCCCCAAACCCCCAGGTGTCCCTCATCCCTGTCCCCAAACCCCCAGGTGTCCCTGTCCTGGTCCCCAAACCCCCAGGTGTCCCTCATCCCTGTCCCCAAACCCCCAGGTGTCCCTGTCCTGGTCCCCAAACCCCCAGGTGTCCCTCATCCCTGTTCTCATCCCCCCAGGTGTCCCTGTCCCAGTCCTCACCCGTCCCCATGTCCCTCATCCCGCTCCCCATCCATCCACACATTCCCCATCCCTTCCCACACCCCCATCCCTCCTCACATCCCTCATTCCTCCCAAGATCCCACGTCCCCCTCCCGCCCCAATCCCCCATCCCCAATCCCCCATCCCCAATCCCCCATCCCCAATCCCCAATCCCAAATCCCCAATCCCCCATTCCCCATC